ATTTGTAATTAATAAATCAAAAATAATTACCCAAGAGAACATATATGAAAATGTGCAGCCTGTCCATGTGTGATGATGACCAAGAGTTAGAGCAAAACGAAACAGTGTCATGTCCTACGCAGACTTTTCCGTTAAAGGAAGTATAGATGGTGATTGGCAGGTTGAGTGGAACATGTTTTCTGATCTTGTTTTCTATTGGTTTGATGTGATGACTAGAGGAGATATAGTCCTAAAAAGGATTAACCTCAGCGTCTAACTGAGATGTAGCCATTTACACGATAGATTACAGCCTAAAAAAACTTGCAGTAGTACCTTACACAAAGGACTTACACTGTATATTTGAATATTTCAGAGTTATAGACTTGGACATAATGATGCACAATTGCTACAAGTTGAACATCCTCCAATAGGACTAAAGTAAAGGATCAAATGCATGTCTTTACTGTGTACAGTAACAAAAGACTGCCTCATTTGTTACTATACTGTAACTTCTAACAGAGGGCATGGATCCCTATGCTTTCTCCCTGCTTAAATAAAATAAACGCGTCAAGTGGATCATATTAAGTAGATCCTGCTCCAAGAAATGTGTTGAATCCCCAATTAACCCCTTTAACTTAATAGACCAGGAATCGAGACTTTATTTTGTTTATTCTGCAAAGTTCACAATTTGGACATGTTTCATCATCAGACCTCAGCAATATGTAGAATACAGGAGCGTTGGATTCGTAAAAACAACTTAAGTGTGTAGCCCAGAGTGTGCAGAGACCTTGCACATAAGCTGTGATCTGCTTGGCTACCACTGTTGTTCTGTTCTTATGGAAACACTCCGCTCGCTTTCCATAATGTCACCTGGTCAAAGAGTAAAGTAATCATCATAGCTGCTGCTTTGGCTACAGCTAATAGGAATAAAAGCACAAAAAATCATCGGCTCACAGATCGTGTTATTAATTAAAGAAAATGTAGGCTCATATTTGAATATAAATACTATACCCAGTGGCGGCCGGTCCATAGGGGCGCTAGGGGCGCCGCCCCACCTCTTCCCATATTGAAAAAAATAAAAATAAATAATAATTAAAATTAAAATTAAAAAAAATATATATGTTTAAAAAAATATATATGTTTTTATTTTTATTTTTAATGAACAAGGTAAATATTATATAATTGGTATCAGTAAAATGTATAATCTACAATAAAATCTCGTTTAAAATTGTGTTACGATGTCTAAAGTTACTGATAAGTCACATGTTTCCTGCCTGGCCTTGCCCATGCACCTTCTCTCGTCTGGGCGCTAAGAGAGGAGCCTTCAACCAGTGCAGCAGCAGCCACCAGCAGCTGACTGTTGCTATCTGTAACGTGTAAACTATGCCGCGAAAATATAATTTCAGCCAATCAGCGTCGTCAAAGATGACGGTCACCGGGCGCCAATGTCAGCGCCCAGTGCAGTCTGTGAGTAGTTTGGACAGTGACTCGTATCCGGTTGACGCAGTAGTTGATGAGGATGGCTTCGTGTGCAGGTGGAGTCTCCGGACCTCGGTCCCCGCCTAATTCTGTTCAAGAGCTAATCTCCAATCCTTTCGAAAGGAGAAGTTTGGCAGATAAATTGTTGCTTAAAGACCTTGCACCGGACCAACCCGATTTGAATATATCGCAGCAATCTCGTGAAAAAGACAAAATGTATACACGAGGCTTCACAAGTAGCTGGTACACAAGAAAGGCTTGGCTAGCTGGATGCAAACAGGTAAATGCTGTCTTTTGTTTCCCATGCTTGGATATCACTTTATATGTAGAGAGGAGGTTTCCCATGGTTGTTAGAAGTTTATTAATAAGTGGGCATTTATCACAGAAGTGATTGTTCTGTCTCCACGTTTGTTGCATTGTCTGTGATGTATTTTCCAACGGTTATAGCTCCTGTTCTGTCCCAGCAACACTACACGGTTTGCAGCTCCACCACATTTTTGGTTTATCTTCGGTGTCGCTTAAAATCTGCTTCCCATCGGACTAAAACCTCCACGTAATCTGAAGACAGATACTTGAAGTTATTTAAACCTTTTGCAAACTTTATGTTCTTTCTTGCTCTAGCCTTGCCAGTTACATTGTACATAACACATATATTATCATTATGCTAACTGGTTGTTCGTGTTAGACGATGTAGCTTTTTCATTTCTGAGTTATTGCTATATGTAAATAAGCCTGTTTGTAAATAATCCTCAGAGAAACAAAGAAAAAACACAATTTATGACATTTTGTGCTGTGGTTATTTTTTTTAAATTGCATTTATTCACAGTTCAGTTTGAAATGCTGTAGTGACTTGTATTGAACCACTTAAATATTTATAATTAATGCTACTGAAAAGATGCTATTAATTTTATATCTCACATGCAGTTCACTGTAAAGCTACTTGGTGAAGGTGTTGGTTCATAAAACATGAACAGTTTTAAGAAAGAAAAAAACAGACCAGTTCTGAGAACACAAATTCCTGGTAAAGTAGTAGATGTTCAGGTTGATAAATAATATTTTCCACACTGAAGATTATGGAGGTATTGATCAGTCTTCTCATATTTTTAAGCCTCGATTTCTCCTTTCCCCCCCCCTCTAACATCACCAGAAGTCATCATTTAAGGGGTCATTTCTCGAAAAAAAATTCCGGGGGGAAACCGCCCGGACCCCCCGGGTAGGTCACTTACGGTACGTCAAGAGCCCCACCAAAAAAAAAGACCACCGGCCGCCACTGACTATACCAACCAGCAATGTGTATAGGTTTGGTGCAGTGTTACAAGTTTGTTTTGAGCTGGCTTAGAGCTGAGAGTTAGACCGTTATTGACTGCTTCAAGGTGAGCTTCTGATCTAGGTCAACTTGCATATCCCAGCTGTAGTATAACACATAACTTCTCTTTTCTGCCCTAACCCTTCTCCAGTAGAAGTCAGAACAGTTTCATCTGCAGCCGGTGAGGCTAAAGTTCACAATCAGCATCCCCTCATCCTTCTCTGTTTTTCCAAGCATAACCTGTTTTGCAATATTCCCAGCCTCATTATTTCAATGTACTGTAGGTGTGTATAAAGATAAATCAAGACTTGATAACTATGAGTTACCTTTGAATAAGTCAAAGGTAATTAAGTGAAAATACTATTTTGCAACAAAAAATCTTCCATCCGAAAATGCCACAAGATGTTATTCAGACTCAACAATGCAGATAAACATCATATCTTAAATATGACGTTGTATGAAACCACACTCTGCATCTGTCTGCAAACGATGGCCCTGTTGCAAAGTGCAACCAGAGCTCGTCTTATTTGATCTCACAGTTATGATGTGGTCACTGATATGACAGATTCAAAAATAAACTGTACTTCTAAACATAGCTGAGGTTGATGAAGTTATACATAAATAACAGAATCTAAGAAACTGACCTCTGACTTCAAGATTGTGGAGACTTTTATCATGTGAACAAAATCTACCACTTTTCAGAATAAACTTAAACATTGATCAAAAAAACTAAACTCAATTCCACCAACACCTTCAGCAGGTCACTATCTGCAGCTTCAGTCTGTCTGCATGCTGAGTGAGTGAGGGGATGTTTGTCACTGTGGGTTTCCTGTAAAGCTTACTTTGAATTGTGTCAGACCACTGGTGAAGGGTATGCGGGGGCTGAAAACAGCTTTGGTGTCTTGTTGCAGAGATGGAATCATAAACGCCATTATGGAATGTAACTGATCGATTTCAGTCAAAGATGTGGACTGAAAGATGAACTGTACAAAACTCACATTTAAAATGCTTATTACAAAATAATACAAAGGTTAGGCATTGAGGCTCCACTGTTATCACTCTACAAGACATTTTTACAAAGAGTGCTTATTAAATAACAGAATCGCCGGTTGATGGCCTGAACTAGGTCGCAGGCTTCACTCACGTATTTTACAACAACAATGGAGATCAATGTGCACATCTGATCAATTTTAACTTGTAATTGTGGAAGGGAAAAGTCACATCTATTTTGTAAAGAATACAATAATAAAGGAAGAATATAGCCAGTATAAAATGTTTTCATGAATCAATTTCAGACAGTTGCGACAGTCCTAAATAATTAGGTGTATAATGGATGCATTGTTACTGCCATTGTTATGTTCTGCCAAAGGGAAATAATTGAATGGAAAACTAAATAAATATCAGTAGGTGTTTATGTTTTTGTTAATGTCACATTAGATGCAAAGTAATGCTGATTTTATTGTTTTATTTCATTTTGGAAATGTGTTATTGTAATTGTAATTATGATGTAAAGTTCCAGCTGCTTTAGGGAATCAGTTCAAAACCAAGATGGTACATTGTGTCTCGTTCAGGCTCTTCGGGACAGCTTGTTGTCTTCCTCATCCAGCGCTCTTTTGGTTTATTACTTCACATCTTACTCCATCAGCATTCTGAACAATTACAGACACATTTGAATAACCCTTACACAAAAGTTATTGTTACCATCTACAGTACCATGCTGTACTGTACTGTATGCTGCAGCTAGCTTTTAGAATGTTTTAAGTGGTGTCAGGAAATTAGAAATAGAGTAATTTAGAGAGTAAATAAAGAGAACTTTGCAACGTATAAACTTAAATTAAATTAAAAACTACTACAAATGGGGCGAAGCCTCCGAGCTAGTTCAGGCAGTCAACTAAAGCACCAATGATACATTTAAACGTGACGTGCCTTGTCCCTCTTACAACCAACCAAACACATTCTCCTAAACCTATATAACTCAGATCTGCCCTTGAGCAAGGCACCGGACACTGCTCCACCACCACCCCAGCTTCCACCCCAGCACCCACCTGTAGGCTCAGGGGATAGTTATCTAATCTTCACTCAATGTGCTATGTAAGTCTGTGGAGTGATGAGGCCCGAGCCTAGACACCAAAGTCAAACTATATGCTGCTTCTAATAAACATATCAAAGAAACACGTGGGTTTTCTGACTGAAATTTATTTAATTCACATTTTCTTACACATCAGTCATTCTGCTTTGTGCTGTTGTTCAAACTCTTTACATCCTAGAAGTGTCGATGGCAGAATAGGTGACAGAACTCTGGGTTGTCGTCCTCTTTGGTCTATGTGACACCGGGCGAATTTCCAGTGCAGCAAAGCACACATCTTGATCCTTAAATATGATATTTGTTGTTTAGAATTATAATCATTTTCAGATGTATTGTCATGATAATTGTATTTTACTGTTACACCTACCTGATTTTGTCTTGTTTGAGGTGTTTGCAGATCAGTTTGAGGTTCTTTAGCTGCAGAATTCAATACTTCATCATTACAGCATGGTACACTCACACAGTATCAAGAGAAGAGAATCATTGTCAATGAATTATCACAGATATGTCTGACATTACAAGTTCAACTTTAAAAGTGAGATAAACATTAGTTACCTTCTTTCTTACAGAGGTGGTACACCAGGAGAGAGGAGAGGAGAGAGGACAGAGCAGCAACAGCTGGACACAGAGAGAACAGCAGCATCCAGCACACACCATTGCAGTCACCGCAGTTTTGTGAAGTCTCATTGTGATCAGGCTCACTGGAGTCTAAAACAAAAAGTTTTGTCGATTAGCTTAATTCAGGGGTGTCCACATTTGGCCCCCGGGCCATTTTGAATCAGCCCTCAGCTAATTCAACAAATATAATGCAGTATGGCCCTCAAATGAAACTTGTGCTTGTCTTGTATTGTACTTCTTTTAACTCATTCCAGCAAATGCAATGTATGAATCAATATTGCTTGAGCCTGAAATAGAATCATCCCAAAGCTCACCATGCACAAAAATAAAGAATAAATACATATGGATGAAACATGCAGCCCCAGAATTAAGGAAATTATTTGTAACAATGTTTACAGTATTTCAGTACTGTACCATGAACATTAAGTCAATTGATTCCATACACTTCACTCACACATATATCTTGCAGGTACAAAACTGGAACAGCACACTTACTTAATCGGATTCTTGTTGAGACGTTGCCATTTGTGTAAAGATGTCTGCGAATAATTTGTTTTTCACTCTCCACATAAAACGTTTCAGTTCCACAGTAGTAGAGCCCTTCATCGGTCTCAGTGGTGTTAATGATCAGCAGGTCATAGGACTCAGAGGAAAAGTTTCTCACAAAGTGGAAACGAGGGAGAGGATTAAGTGCGCGTTCAATGTTTGTTAGTGTCCATACATTTTTAAGGACGAGAGAAGGCTGGTTCTCATGAGAGCAGTTCCTGTACCACACGATGTATACTCCGGTTGATAACTTGCAGTCACAGTAGAGACTGATGTTTTCTCCTGGTCTGACTGTCATCTCCAACTCTGATCCAGAGGTCCAACCATGACTGAAAGATACAACTCCTGGAAAACAAACACAATAGGCTCAGTGGAACAGGGTTTCACATTACAGCAGGGGCAGATTCCTCCTCCTAAAAACATAAAGAGAAGGTAAATACCAATTCTTTCCAAATGGATTTGTAATTAATAAATCAAAAATAATTACCCAAGAGAACATATATGAAAATGTGCAGCCTGTCCATGTGTGATGAAGACCAAGAGTTAGAGCAAAGCGAAACAGTGTCATGTCCTACGCAGACTTTTCCATTAAAGGAAGTATAGATGGTGATTGGCAGGTTGAGTGGAACATTTTTTTCTGATCTTGTTTTCTATTGGTTTGATGCGATCACTAGAGGAGATATAGTCCTAAAAAGGATTAACCTCAGCGTCTAACTGAGATGTAGCCATTTACACGATAGATTACAGCCTAAAAAAACTTGAGTAGTACCTCACACAAAGGACTTACACTGTATATTTGAATATTTCAGAGTTATAGACTTGGACATAATGATGCACAATTGCTACAAGTTGAACATCCTCCAATAGGACTAAAGTAAAGGATCAAATGCATGTCTTTACTGTGTACAGTAACAAAAGACTGCCTCATTTGTTACTATACTGTAACTTCTAACAGAGGGCATGGATCCCTATGCTTTTTCCCTGCTTAAATAAAATAAACGCGTCAAATGGATCATATTAAGTAGATCCTGCTCTAAGAAATGTGTTGAATCCCCAATTAACCCCTTTAACTTAATGGACCAGGAATCAAGACTTTATTTTGTTTATTCTTCAAAGTTCACAATTTGGACATGTTTCATCATCAGACCTCAACAATATGTACAATACAGGAGCGTTGAATTCGTAAAAACAACTTAAGTGTGTAGCCCAGTGTGTGCAGAGACCTTGCACATAAGCTGTGATCTGCTTGGCTACCACTGTTGTTCTGTTCTTATGGAAACACTCCGCTCGCCTTCCATAATGTCACCTGGTCAAAGAGTAAAGTAATCATCATACTGTAGCTGCTGCTTTGGCTACAGCTAATATGAATAAAAGCACAAAAAATCATCGGCTCACAGATCGTGTTATTAATTAAAAAAAATGTAGGCTCATATTTGAATATAAATACTATACCAACCAGCAATGTGTATAGGTTTGGTACAGTGTTACAAGTTTGTTTTGAGCTGGCTTAGCTGAGAGTTAGACAGTTATTGACTGCTGTAAGATATACAACTGCTAATGTCTTCACTCAATTAACCATGACTGGTTTTCTAAAACTTTTGTTTATTACATAGGGCTGTATGCTATTTCAGCTAACGGCTTGGTTTTATAGTTCAACGGGCCACGAGTGTACATCTTCAGTATGACTGCATGCTAGGCTCTGCAGTCCTTTGAAGGTCTGTATGTCTGTTTGAGCTTCCTCATGTGCTGATGACATTCACTTGCTCACATACAAAAATAAGAGGGATTTTTTGGATTGACTGTTGTTGCACCTTAAATGTTCCACATTAATAGATTTTGTAATCAGTTCCCAGAGCTTGAGACGGCCCAGTGTGAAAGTGGCCAACTCGAGGTATGGATTGTGAGTGATTATTATGTGAGGTTTCAATTTTCTGCTCTAAATACAAAAATCTGATCATTTTAAACGCTGCCATCCCAAAAGCAGTTTCATGTCGATTTCAACTTGCGAATTTCTGAATTTCAAACATTGTCCAACAATGAGGAAGCAGAAAACACACTTTTTAAGATATATTTAACAAGCCCCTTGAAAAGAACAGCTTTTGCTGAAATGGGTCAGATCGGCCCCTACTTTGTTGAGCTCATAGGATTTGATCTATTTTTAAATCCCTTATAATAATTGGCACCTTCTTGAGTTCTTGAGTAGATAAAGGGGTAATAACACCATTGGGGTCATCAGGTGGGCACCCTCTTTCCTCAGTGTTTCGTTGATAGGCCCACAACATCTCCAGAGGGCTCAACGGTTTCACCTGGCGTCCCAGGTGAGCCCCCCCACACCGCTTTTACCCCTTCTACTACTTTGCAGCCCAGATGGAATCTCTCCTTTTCAGCCACAGCCAGTTGCTACTTTGGTCAGCTGCTTCTCCCAGTGACTTGATGGCCTGTCGGAGTGCCTGCCCTCAGACCCCCATGCTTTGAAGAAGCCTCGTGGTTTATCTGGCTACAAAGCCTCTGCAGCCGTCCTCCACTGGGAGAACCTGCGTTTTCCATCCCTGCTGTACTGCCTCGGCTGCTATAACCGAGTACTTTAAAAGCTTCATCGACTGCAGCCTCCCATTGTTCAGTTAATTAAACGATGTACAAGGACTTTGGTGAGGTTGACCACATGATAGAATTGGAGGGATGAAACCCTCTTTAATGGTCACACATGCAGAGCACACAGCACACACAGTGACATTTGTTCTCTGCTTTTTACCCATCCTAGTACTGGGAGCAGTGATCAAATCTGGCCTGAGATTGGTTGTGATGATCTTTGCCCGGTAGGTGAGCTTCTGATCTAGGTCAACTTGCATATCCCAGCTAATGTAGTATAACACATAACTTCTCTTTTCTGCCCTAACCCTTCTCCAGTAGAAGTCAGAAAAGTTTCACCTGTAGCCGGTGAGGCTAAAGTTCACAATCAGCATCCCCTCATCCTTCTCTGTTTTTCCAAGCATAACCTGTTTTGCAATATTCCCAGCCTCATTATTTCAATGGAATGTAGGTGTGTATAAAGATAAATCAAGACTTGATAACTATGAGTTACCTTTGAATAAGTCAAAGGTAATTAAGTGAAAATACTATTTTGCAACAAAAGATCTTCCATCCGAAAATGCCACAAGATGTTATTCAGACTCAACAATGCAGATAAACATCATATCTTAAATATGACGTTGTATGAAACCACACTCTGCATCTGTCTGCAAACGATGGCCCTGTTGCAAAGTGCAACCAGAGCTCGTCTTATTTGATCTCACAGTTATGATGTGGTCACTGATATGACAGATTCAAAAATAAACTGTACTTCTAAACATAGCTGAGGTTGATGAAGTTATACATAAATAACAGAATCTAAGAAACTGACCTCTGACTTCAAGATTGTGGAGACTTTTATCATGTGAACAAAATCTACCACTTTTCAGAATAAACTTAAACATTGATCAAAAAACTAAACTTAATTCCACCAACACCTTCAGCAGGTCACTATCTGCAGCTTCAGTCTGTCTGCATGCTGAGTGAGTGAGGGGATGTTTGTCACTGTGGGTTTCCTGTAAAGCTTACTTTGAATTGTGTCAGACCACTGGTGAAGGGTACGTGGGGGCTGAAAACAGCTTTGGTGTCTTGTTGCAGAGATGGAATCATAAACGCCATTATAGAATGTAACTAATCGATTTCAGTCAAAGATGTGGACTGAAAGATGAACTGTACAACAACTCACATTTAAAATGCTTATTACAAAATAATACAAAGGTTAGGCATTGAGGTTCCACTGTTACACTCTACAAGACATTTTTACAAAGAGTGCTTATTAAATAACAGAATCGCCAGATCCAACAGGTGGATGCTGGGGCAGAAAAGCAGCAGTGGTGCAGAAGTAGAGCAGAGAGAGATGGCAAGTCTGGCAGCTTAAAAAGAGCACCAGATTTAGGAGAACGTGTTTGGTTGGTGGTGAGTGCAGGCACGTCATGTTCATGTATCATTGTAGCTCAGGTTGATGGCCTGAACTAGGTTGCAGGCTTCACTCACATATTTTACAACAACAATGGAGATCAATGTGCTGCCTAAGGGAAATAATTGAATGGAAAACTAAATAAATATCAGTAGGTGTTTATGTTTTTGTTAATGTCACATTAGATGCAAAGTAATGCTGATTTTATTGTTTTATTTCATTTTGGAAATGTGTTATTGTAATTGTAATTATGATGTAAAGTTCTAGCTGCTTTAGGGAATCAGTTCAAAACCAAGATGGTACATTGTGTCTCGTTCAGAATCTTCGGAACAGCTTGTTGTCTTCCTCATCCAGCGCTCTTTTGGTTTATTACTTCACATCTTACTCCATCAGCATTCTGAACAATTACAGACACATTTGAATAACCCTTACACAAAAGTTATTGTTACCATCTACAGTACCATGCTGTACTGTACTGTATGCTGCAGCTAGCCAGCTAGCAGCATGTTTTAAGTGGTGTCAGGAAATTAGAAATAGAGTAATTTAGAGAGTACATAAAGAGAACTTTGCAACGTATAAACTTTACAAATTAAAAACTACTATAAATGGGGCGAAGCCTCCGAGCTAGTTCAGGCAGTCAACTAAAGCACCAATGATACATTTAAACGTGACGTGCCTTGTCCCTCTTACAACCAACCAAACACGTTCTCCTAAACCTATATAACTCAGATTTGCCCTTGCACAAGGCACCGGACACTGCTCCACCACCACCCCAGCTTCCACCCCAGCACCCACCTGTAGGCTCAGGGGATAGTTATCTAATCATCACTCAATGTGCTATGTAAGTCTGTGGAGTGATGAGGCCCGAGCCTAGACACCAAAGTCAAACTATATGCTGCTTCTAATAAACATATCAAAGAAACACGTGAGTTTTCTGACTGAAATGTATTTAATTCACATTTTCTTACTCATCAGTCATAGATTCTGCTTTGTGCTGTTGTTCAAACTCTTTACATCCTAGAAGTGTTGATGGCAGAATAGGTGCTGAAGTCAGAACTCTGGGTTGTCGTCCTCTTTGGTCTATGTGACGCCGGGCGAATTTCCAGTGCAGCATAACACACATCTTCATCCTTAAATGTTACATTTGTTGTTTAGAATTATAATCATTTTCAGATTTAGTGTCATGATTATATTTTACTGTTTCTCCTACCTGATTTTGTCTTGTTTGAGGTGTTTGCTGATCAGTTTGAAGTTCTTTAGCTGCAGAATTCAATACTTCATCATTACAGCATGGTACACTCACACAGTATCAAGAGAAGAGAATCATTGTCAATGAATTATCACAGATATGTCTGACATTACAAGTTAAACTTTAAAAGTGAGATAAACATTAGTTACCTTCTTTCTTACAGAGGTGGTACACCAGGAGAGAGGAGAGGAGAGAGGACAGAGCAGCAACAGCTGGACACAGAGAGAACAGCAGCATCCAGCACACACCATTGCAGTCTCGCATTACACCACAGTTTTGTGAAGTCTCATTGTGATCAGGCTCACTGGAGTCTAAAACAAAAAGTTTTGTCGATTAGCTTAATCCAGGGGTGTCCACATTTGGCCCCCGGGCCATTTTGAATCAGCCCTCAGCTAATTCAAAGAAATATAATGCAGTATGGCCCTCAAATGAAACTTGTGCTTGTCTTGTATTGTACTTCTTTTAACTCATTCCAGCAAATGCAATGTATGAATCAATATTGCTTGAGCCTGAAATGTAGAATCATCCCAAAGCTCACCATGCACAAAAATAAAGAATAAATACATATGGATGAAACATGCAGCCCCAGAATTAAGAACATTATTTGTAACAATGTTTACAGTATTTCAGTACTGTACCATGAACATTAAGTCAATTGATTCCATACACTTCACTCACACATATATCTTGCAGGTACAAAACTGGAACAGCACACTTACTTAATCGGATTCTTGTTGAGACGTTGCCATTTGTGTAAAGATGTCTGCGAATAATTTTTTTTTGCACTCGCCACATCAAACTTTACAGTTCCACAGTAGTAGAGCCCTTCATCGGTCTCAGTGGTGTTAATGATCAGCAGGTCATAGGACTCGGAGGAATAGTTTCTCACAAAGTAGAAACGAGGGAGAGGATTAAGTACGCGTTCAATGTTTGTGGTTTGTGTCCATTCATTTTTAAGGACGACAGAAGGCTGGTTCTCATGAGAGCAGTTCCTGTACCACACGATGTATACTCCGGTTGATAACTTGCAGTCACAGTAGAGACTGATGTTTTCTCCTGGTCTGAATGTCATCTCCAACTCTGATCCAGAGGTCCAATGACTGAAAGATACAACTCCTGGAAAACAAACATATGTAGTCAGTGTTTTCACATTAAGGTAGGGGCAGATTCCATCTAAAATAAAATGAACATGTCAAAATGAATCATTCCAAATGGAAGTGTAATGAATTAATTCCAAAAATAGTATCAAAATAAAAACCTAAGAGGATGAAAATGAAAATACGTGGCCCGTCCATGTGTGATGATGACCAAGAGTTAAAGACAAGTGAAACAGGTTTTACTCAGAGATATCACGTCATGCGCAGATTTTTCCGTTAAAGGAAGTTAAGGCAATGATTGGTTGGGTTGAGTGGAAACATTGTTTCAGTTCTTGTCTTCTGTTGGTCCAGATATACATGCTATTCTTGGCTTTGATGTGATCACTAGATAAGATATAGGCCCACAAAAGGATTAACCTTAGCATCAAACTGAGGTGTGGAGAAGTTAACAATCATCAAATAAGACAATGTTAAGGGATCCTACTGTATGGCCATTTGGGGTTATTGTAGATCAGGGGGTAATGATCTGAAAATCATTTACAGATTTTGACAAACCCAACCTTGCCACATCCTCTTCCATAAAGATTTTATTCCGAAGAAAAATGTAAGTGGCCTGTATCGCAAGCAGAACTCTTCCAAAGTCTAAAGGACCCAACTTTCAATAGCTCACACAAGTTGTTTTGGGGGGTTTATGTGAAAAGTTGAAAGGTTATAATGTATACTGTAGACAGTATTTGGGTTTGAAGTTATAATCAGGATATCATATAGGGAGTTGATATTTAATACTACCTACTTGTTTAGGTGATGCTGTTCAACGGGTTTCCAAATAGATGGTTTTGCTTGCCATGTTTATACTGCTCTAACATTTGACTCAGTGGCATGGTTTTTCTGAATGAGAAGATATGCTGTTCTTAAAGACAGATTTATTTATGTTGGCTGTGGTAAAGACCAAAATTATTTAAAACTAAATAACGTGTCATTTTATTTTTTGTTTTCATGTCAGCCTGTTGCCAGTTTTAAACACTGAGACATATTTTAAACCTCAGTGGTAAGTATATTAATCAGGGATCTTCAGAAATAAATTCAATATTGATTGTATCTCCAATCATTTGATTTAACAAAATAAGTAATAAACCATCTTTTGTAGTGCCATTGTTCCATTTCAGATCTACAATGACAATCTGTGGCTAGAGGCTTTTACCTCAATCAAGTTCTTGGAAATTAATCTTGATTTACTCAATTATTAATCCACCTTCACAATATTGCATCATTCAAATATTTTATTCAAATGCGTCTCTTGACCAACATTGAGGACTCACAAAACTGGGACACACAGATGACACAATTTGCCCCACTCCAGATACACTGAGTTTACATACTGGACAACATGGGGTATGGATTTGTAAGTGGTAGCTCATTAAGATACAAAACATTTCATTTCATTGTTCAAAATTAATATCTTGATTAATACCATGTTGCCAAATATATTCAAAAAAGAAATTGGCAACCACATACAACATTATGTACATGAAATTAAATGTTATATATGCTTCGAAAACGATGCTACTGTTGATGACTTTTAAAAGCATACATATAACAAATATTTAAAAAACACATGTAAAAAAATAACATTATTTACATGTCATATTTTATATTTTTAAAAGTCTTTACATTGTGTAACAAGCTAAATAACAAAACACATTCATTATAGAATTTAGACTAAAACACGGTTTGTGACGAAAGCTCAGAAATACCTTAAAATATATGTAAAATGTTACATTAAACATTTAGCATTATCACAGCAATTATGTTAAGACAAAATAATGCAGATATTATGTTGGCACATCCATCAGTCAAAGACAAAGGACAGAGAACAATATATTTTATTTAACTATTTTACTTTCATCAAAAAGTTGGCTTTGAAATAAAAATGTTTAAATCATTTAATATGACCTGTACTTCTAAACGTAGCTGAGGTGGCTGCAGATGCTTGGCTTGACTCTATAGATATACATAAATATCACCATCTAACCAAACCACTGACTACTGTTTTCAAGCTTGTGGGAATTTCTACCATGTGAACAAAGCGTTGCACATTTAAGAACAACTGTATTAACTCTATTCCACCAACACCTTCAGCAGGCCACTCGTCTGCAGCTTCAGTCTGTCTGCATGCTGAGCGTGTGAGGGGATGTATGTGGGTTTCCTGTAAAGTGTATTTTGAATTGTCTCAGACCACTGGTGAACGGTATGTGGGGGATGATAGCAGTTTGAGATAGAACAGGAAATTGTCTGAAAACAACTTTTGTGTCTGGAGAGATATAATCATCAAATCCATTATGAATTGTAACAGGTCGAATTCAGTCAAAATGTGAATCGGAAGCCAAACTGTATTTCAGTCAGACACTCACATTTGAAATGTTTATTTACAGTAGCATATAGTAAGGCATCTAGGCACCAGCATCATCACTCTCCAGGATATTTTTTACATGGAATAAGAGGAGTGATGATTAAATAACTTTCCCCCGGAGCCTAGAGATCGATGCTGGGGCAGAAAAGCAGCAGTTGTGCAGAAGCAGGGCAGCAGCAGCATTGGCGATGCAGAGGGAGAGATGGCAAGTATTGCAGGTAAAATAGAGCACCAGATTTAGGAGAATGTTTTTGGTTGGTGGTATGAGGGGGTAAGGCACGTCACATGTGTGTGTCATTGTACCTCGAGTTGACTGCCTCAACTAGCTCACAGGCTATACACTCCATAACATCTAACAGGTGTTTTTTTGTATAGAGTCCAATGTGCACATCTGATCAAGTTTAAGTTGTAGTTTAAATTGTGGAAGAAAATAAAACAGACATCCATTATGTTAAGAAGAAAATAATAAAGGAAAACATTTCTTCAGTATACAATATGCTTTTTCACCAAATTCATTTAAATACACTTTGGTGTGGTCCATGCCACTAACAGTGTCAACAGTCCTAAATACTTAAGTGGATTATGCATTTATTGTTACTGTCGTTATTATGGTCTGCTATAGGCTCTGTCATTAAATAAATCATATTTATTTCAAGTTCAAGTTTTTGATAATGTCACATAAGATGTAAAGTAATGGCGTTTTTATTGTCTTCATTTCATTTGATTGATTGGAACCTCTTTTGAAGAGAAATGTGTTGTAGTAATTATGATGTAAAGGTCCAGCTGTTTTAATGAATCAGTTTTAAACCAAGATGGACATTTTTTTCTTGTTCAGGCTGTTCGGGACAGCTTGGTGTCTTCCTAATCCAGCGCTCTTTTAGTTTATCACTTCACATCTCCACTGGAGGTCAGAAGAGTTTCACATTCAGCCGGTGTGGCAAACAGATTCACCAGCCCTCTCTTTGTGTACGGTTTTCAAATGCTACCAAATACACCAAATCTGTGTCTCTGTCTCTCTCAATCCAGCAATTTATGCAGTTAATACATTTAAAGCCTTTTCAGGTTCAGTCATGCAAAAACAACAAGAACAACAACAGTAGGGGAGTGTGACATCATTTGAGACTGTTAGGAAGTTGAGCCACCCATTGTTTCTAAGCAACCATGGAAAATATTGGTGACCACACATGTGAGTACACATTTTTGAAAAGTTATCTGCTGTACTCGCTGTGACGAAGACAGCCCAGTGGAATAATTGATCACTGCATTTACATTTTAAAATCTTTTGCAGTTCAAAGTTATTTTTTAGGGATTCTTGTGTACAATTACAGACACATTTGAATAAAACTTGGACATGAATTATTGCATAAATCTCTCATGCTGCTCTTCTGAAGCTAACTTTCTTTAAAGAGCCCCTGCCTTTCATAGACACAATATGGGGGGTTAACATAATGATTATAGTCTAGGGATTGTCAATGTGGATCAACATCCTCCGCATTAAGGGCAGAAACTGGTCACCCAAAAAAGTGAAACTATAGTCACATATAGTTAAAGATGTTTGTCACTGTGAGTTTCCTGCGATACTAACTGAATACAAGGTGTGACCTACACGATGTGGTTGAGGTCGGCTTGGCTGTCATTGTTGTCATGCTCTATACTCTATACTCTATATTCTAGGAAACTGTGTGGTAGGCCATCCTTAAATAACGTGCCTGATTCAAACAATAGCCATGTGGCTTTTAAATGATGTATCCTTTTAACAAAATACATTTTATTCTCTTTAGAAGAATGAGCCCTAACTTAACAAATATTTGGACTTGATTCAGACTTTACTGGAGGAGGATTGGGAATGATGGGTAACTTGAGAAAAAAACAGGAAATTGCCTGAAAACAGGTAAAGAGGCACTAAACCCAATCTTTATAAAACATGTCAACACTTCATGATCTAACAGATTGGCACAACAACTGAGAGAAAAGCAGGAGGGATTGAATACTTAAACTGAGCACATGAATGTAAACCTTCTGAATCTGAACTCCTTGCACTTTAGTTTGTTTCTGCCTAAACAGTGTGAATGTGATATTGTTGTCCATTTTCCGTCTATTGTTGTTTTCTTCCATCCTTCGCTCGGAACACAACTCGTGTGAAACACAAATCTTCATCCTGAGAGATCATTTGACATTTGTTATTTAGAAATATTGTTTGCTGTTATAAATAAAGATGTCTAACTGTGAAATATGAAACCACTGTTGACGAGGAGATGACTGCTAAAAGTTGCTGTTATAGATCAGTGTAGACTTTGTACATTTCCTAAATGTCCTGTGTTCATTACCTGATCCCATCTTGTTTGAATCCTGGTGTTAAGTCTTTTCTGGAGAATTTGAGGTTCCTTATCTGCAAAATAAAATACAACAACATTACAAAGTACCACCGACTGCACCTATGAAAATATAGTTCACTATGAGAGCTTTCCTTTATGTATAAATAATAGATTTGACATAATTTCTTTTAAACAATAGTAGGGAAAACAATTGTGCGACAACAGTACCTGTTTTCTGACAGAAGAGATACACCAGAATAAAGGAAATGAAGGAGGTGAGAATAGTAAAGGCTGGAGTGAGCACCATCATCCAGGGCACAACAGGGTTCAAAATGTGTCCACCGGGGTCAGGGCATGAGCTGGAATCTGGAACTAATACATATCTAGATTTACATTTGAATTTTTCTCAGTTTGCCTCACAATTGAAAGATTTAATTTAGTAGATGAAGCTTTTTTTTAATACTGTCAATTAAGATAAATCGATTAGTAAGAACAGCATACTCACTGACATGGATCCTTGTTGAGACGTTGACATTTGTGTAAATATGTGTGAAAGTAAGTCGTTCGTTTTGCTCCAACTTAAACTGATCAGTTCCACAGTAGTAGAGCCCTTCATCGGTCTCAGTGATGTTAACGATCAGCAGGTCATAGGACTCAGAGGAAAAGTTTCTCACAAAGTGGAAACGAGGTAGAGGATTCAGAGAATAGTTTATATCCATAAAGTATCTTCTCCATTCTTTTACATTAAGGACAAGAGAAGGCTGGTTCTCATGAGAGCAGTTCCTGTACCACATGATGTATACTCCGGATGATAACTTGCAGTCACAGTAGAGAGTGATGTCGTCTCCTGGTCTGACTGTCATCTCCAACTCTGATCCAGAGGTCCAGTCATGAGTGCATGATACTACTACAGCAAAATGAAATCAATCACAAAATCAAATATAAATGTGATGAGTGTGCATTACAACAGAGTAACACAGTGTATCCCACTACACTAAATGCAGATTACTGCTCATTACAGCGCTGACAATGAACGCATGAATTTAATATAACACAATGAATAAAATATATTCAAACTGAATGAGTCTACCAAATATTACCTAGCAGAATGACCAGAACAATACGAAGCCCTTCCATCTGTGATGATGACCTGATGAAGAAAAACGTGAAAGGTCTTACTGCTGGATGTACTGACCTGCCCAGACTTTTCTATTTAAGGACATGTCAGTTTTGATTGGCACGTTGAACTGAACATTTTTTTCTGTCGTTGTTTCTATTGGTTAGAATCAAAGAGACAGACTAGATTAAAAGATCGCCTCAATTTCAGGGTTGGGAGGGGAACTTTAAAAAATATATTGTGTTACAATTACTGGTTACATGAAAAAACAGTAACATAATATAAGTATCACAACATAAAAGTACCTAATTACTCTCATGTACTTTTGAATTACCTTCATATCAAATGCAATTCCTATAAACAAGAGAGAAGAAATATCAATAAGATGTTTTTTTACTTAATCGTGCTCTGTAAGACAATAGAACAATGTAACCAGAGGAAAGAAACTAAGATATTTTGAATCAGAAATGTGTTATCTTAATTTATAGGCTAGGCATAAAGAATAGGATAGTTTTAACATGCTTTTTAAGTTCAACACATGAATTAAAAGTAAACACATCATTTTATTTTTTTATAAATCATATTTGTACCTACTGCATTAAAAAGAAAATAATAATAAAACAAAGAAAAATAAAAGTTTCCCGAATTAAGACAAACTCATACCGATAATCCTTTAACCTTAGATCTCTTTAACACAACTGAAACAGGGAGTTACCTTTTTTTGTATCCTGATTTTGTAATCCCGTTTCATATTAAAGGTTTACCTTCAGTTCAGTGTGTGACTATTTGTTTCTCTGCAGGTTGGTGAATGCAATGTTTCTGATATGTTTCTCACTGTGGTTCTCTACAGAACTAGTGCGCTGGAAGTGGCCCAGTGTGAAAGCCACACATTTGACACAGAGATGGGGGTTCAAAACCCGCTTGGGGTATAGATTGTGAGTGATTATTATATGTATGTGTGGTTTCAATTGTCTGCTCTAAAAACAAACAAAAACATTATTTTAAATGCTGCTATCCCAAAATCAGTTTTTGGAGATTTTTGCGAATTTAAAACATTGTCCAACAAGGAGGAAACAGGGAAGATTGTTTTACTTTGATTAAACAAGCCCCTTCCAACGAACAGCTGTTGTTAAAATGGGTCAGATCTCCCCTTCTGATGTAATGAAACACATAACGTCTCTGAGCTGCCCTAACTCTTCTCCAGAGGTCAGGAGAGTTCACAACCAGCATCCCTTCACCCTTCTCTGTTTTTCCCAGCAAAACCTGATAAGTTCAAGTGTATTCCAATATACCTGTCTTCATTACAAGTTATTGTAACTTGAATGTATATTTATGTATAGATAAAAGAGTATTGATGAATATAAAAATAAGTAAAAATAAAAATGTATTTGTTAAAAAAATATTTTGAATCCAAAAATGCCACAAGATGTTATTCAGACTCAACAGTGCAGATGAACATCTTGAATATGACTTTGTATGAAACCACTCTCTGCATCTGTCTGCAAACAATGGCCCTGTTGCAAAGTGTAAAATAGTAGATCTTATCTGATCTAACAGTTATGATGCGTTCAGTGCGTTCACTGATTAATTCCACCAACACCTTCAGCAGGTCGCTATCTGCAGCTTCAGTCTCGCTGCATGCTGAGTGAGTGAGGGGATGTTTGTCACTGTGGGTTTCCTGTAAAGCTTACTTTGAATTGTCTCAGACCACTGGTGAAGGGTGGGGGCCGATAGCCATTTCAGATAAAAACAGGAAATTGTCAGAAAATGAATGTTGTGTCTTGTTGCAGAGCAATAATTCTAAAACACCATTATGAAATGTTAGCAATTCATTTCAGTCAAAAATGTGAACTAGAAGTTTAAATGTATTTAATAACAACAAACAGGAAATACAATTACACATGGGGGTTGATCTGCACATCTGATCAAGTGTAACTTGTTATTGGAGTTGTGGAAAGAAATAAAACAAACTGAAACAAAAAAGTAGAATTTGGAAAGAATGAAAACATTAAGAAATACATTACATTTCTTTCTTGAGTGAATTTGGATGCACTATGTTGTGGTTAATGCCAATAACAGAAGTCCTAAATAATAACCTGTATTATGAATGATTAATTTAATTATTATGGTCTACTAAAGGGTCTGTCATTCAATCGATAATATTTAGTAGAAAAACAAAATATATCTAAAGGAGGTAATGTTTTTGATAATGTCACATTGGATATAAATTCATGTTAAATGTTACATTACATTTTTAGACACAGCAACTTAGTTGAGGAGAAAAAATGCAGATATTGTGTTGGCACATCCAACAGTCAAAGAGCGACGAGAAAGAGAGAAATATCCTGAATTAAGTCAATTCACTTGGATCAAAAAGTAGGCTATGTAAAATGTATCTAAAATATTTAGAATTTTACTGTTTTTCTGGAATACTGAAATGTTCATCCTGCTATCCTTTCAATGTATTTATTATTTTTTCTTATATTGATCATTTTTATCAGGACTCAAATATATGTAATGATACCACATTCATCAATAAGGAAAGGAGCAGTTTGTTAGTTGATGATAATATTTTGTTTGCACACAGCTTATTAATAAGATATCAGTAAGAACAGGTAAAGAGGCACAAAACCCAATCTTTATAAAACATGTCAACACTTCATGATCTAACAGATTGGCACAACAACTGAGAGAAAAGCAGGAGGGCTTGAATACTTAAACTGAGCACATGAATGTAAACCTTCTGAATCTGAACTCCTTGCACTTTAGTTTGTTTCTGCCTAAACAGTGTGAATGTGATATTGTTGTCCATTTTCCGTCTATTGTTGTTTTCTTCCATCCTTCGCTCGGAACACAACTCGTGTGAAACACAAATCTTCATCCTGAGAGATCATTTGACATTTGTTATTTAGAAATATTGTTTGCTGTTATAAATAAAGATGTCTAACTGTGAAATATGAAACCACTGTTGACGAGGAGATGACTGCTAAAAGTTGCTGTTATAGATCAGTGTAGACTTTGTACATTTCCTAAATGTCCTGTGTTCATTACCTGATCCCATCTTGTTTGAATCCTGGTGTTAAGTCTTTTCTGGAGAATTTGAGGTTCCTTATCTGCAAAATAAAATACAACAACATTACAAAGTACCACCGACTGCACCTATGAAAATATAGTTCACTATGAGAGCTTTCCTTTATGTATAAATAATAGATTTGACATAATTTCTTTTAAACAATAGTAGGGAAAACAATTGTGCGACAACAGTACCTGTTTTCTGAAAGAAGAGATACACCAGAATAAAGGAAATCAAGGAGGTGAGAATAGTAAAGGCTGGAGTGAGCACCATCATCCAGGTCACAACAGGGTTCAAAATGTGTCCACCGGGGTCAGGGCATGAGCTGGAATCTGGAACTAATACATATCTAGATTTACATTTGAATTGTTCTCAGTTTGCCTCAAAATTGAAAGATTTCATTTAGTAGATGAAGCTTTTTTTAATACTGTCAATTAAGATAAATCGATTAGTAAGAACAGCATACTCACTGACATGGATCCTTGTTGAGATGTTGCCATGTGTGTAAATGTGTTTGTTTTTCTCCACCTTAAACTGTTCAGTTCCACAGTAGTAGAGCCCTTCATCGGTCTCAGTGATGTTAATGATCAGCAGGTCATAGGACTCAGAGGAAGAGTTTCTCACAAAGTGGAAATGAGGTAGAGGATTCTGAGAATAGTTGATATCCATAAAGTATCTTCTCCATGCTTTTACATTAAGGACAAGAGAAGGCTGGTTCTCATGAGAGCAGTTCCTGTACCACACGATGTATACTCCGGATGATAACTTGCAGTCACAGTAGAGAGTGATGTTGTCTCCTGGTCTGACTGTCATCTCCAACTCTGATCCAGAGGTCCAGTCATGAGTGCATGATACTACTACAGCAAAATGAAAGCAATCACAAAATCTAATATAAATGTGATGAGTGTGCATTACAACAGAGTAACACAGTGTATCCCACTATACTAAATGCAGATTACTGCTCATTACAGCGCTGACAATGAACGCATTAATTTAATATAACACAATGAATAAAATATATTCAAACTGAATGAGTCTACCAAATATTACCTAGCAGAATGACCAGAAAAATACGGAGCCCTTCCATCTGTGATGATGACCTGATGAAGAAAAACGTGAAAGGTCTTACTGCTGGATGTACTGACCTGCCCAGACTTTTCTATTTAAGGACATGTCAGTTGTGATTGGCACGTTGAACTGAACACACTTTTTTTTTGCGCTGGAAGTGGCCCAGTGTGAAAGTCACACGTTTGACACAGAGATGGGGGTTCAAAACCCGCTTGGGGTATAGATTGTGAGTGAGTATTATATGTGTGTGTGGTTTCAATTGTCTGCTCTAAAAACAAATAAAAACATTATTTTAAACGCTGCTATCCCAAAAGCAGTTTTTGGAGATTTTTGCAAAAGAAAAACATTGTCCAACAAGGAGGAAACAGGGACGATGTGTTTAAAATGGGTCAGATCTCTCCTTCTGATGTAATGAACCACATAACCTCTCTGAGCTGCCCAAACTCTTCTCTATAGATAAAGAGTATTGATAAATATAAACATAAGTAGAAGAAGCATTTTTTTTTTTAACAATGAATGTTCTATCCAAAAATGCCAGAAGATGTTATTCAGACTCAACAGTGCAGATGAACATCTTGAATATGACTTTGTATGAAACCACTCTCTGCATCTGTCTGCAAACAATGGCTCTGTTGCACAGTGTAACCAGAGCTCGTGTTATCTGATCTCACAGTTATGATGCGTTCACTGATTAATTCCACCAACACCTTCAGCAGGTCACTATCTGCAGCTTCAGTCTCTCTGCATGCTGAGCGAGTGAGGGGATGTTTGTCACTGTGGGTTTCCTGTAAAGCTTACTTTGAATTGTCTCAGACCACTGGTGAAGGGTGGGGGCCGATAGCCATTTCAGATAAAAACAGGAAATTGTCTGAAAATAGATTGTGTGTCTTGTTGCAGAGCAATAATTATAAAACACCATGATGAAATGTTAGCGATTAATTTCAGTCAAAAATGTGAAGTAGAAGTTTAAATGTATTTAATAACAACAAACAGGAAATACAATTACACATGGAGGTTGATCTGCACATCTGATCAAATGTAACTTGTTATTGGAGTTGTGGAAAGAAATAAAACAAACTGAAACAAAAAAGTTCAATTTGGAAAGAATGAAAACATTAAGAAATACATTACATTTCTTTCATGAGTGAATTTGGATGCATTATGTTGTGGTTAATGCCAATAACAGAAGTCCTAAATAATAACCTGTATTATGAATGATTAATTTAATTATTATGGTCTACTAAAGGGTCTTTCATTCAATCGATAATATTTAGTCGAAAAACAAAATACATTAATAGGAGGTAATGTTTTTGATAATGTCACATTGGATATAAATTCATGTTAAATGTTACATTACATTTTTAGACACAGCAACTTAGTTGAGGAGAAAATATCCAAATATTGTGTTGGCACATCCAATAGTTAAAGAGCGACGAGAAAGAGCGAAATATTCTGAATTAAGTCAATTCACTTGGATCAAATGTAGGCTATGTAAAATGTATCTAAAATATTTAGAATTTTACTGTTTTTCTGGAATACTGAAATGTTCATCCTGCTATCCTTTCAATGTATTTATTATTTGTTCTTATATTGATCATTTTTATCAGGATTCAAATATATGTAATGATACCACATTCATCAATAAGGAAAGGAGCAGTTTGTTAGTTGATGATAACATTTTGTTTGCACACAGCTTATTAATAAGATTTCAGTAAGAACAGGGAAAGAGGCACTAAACCCAATCTTTATAAAACATGTCAACACTTCATGATCTAACAGATTGGCACAACAACTGAGAGAAAAGCAGGAGGGATTGAATACTTAAACTGAGCACATGAATGTAAACCTTCTGTATCTGAACTCCTTGCACTTTAGTTTGTTTCTGCCTAAACAGTGTGAATGTGATATTGTTGTCCATTTTCCGTCTATTGTTGTTTTCTTCCATCCTTCGCTCGGAACACAACTCGTGTGAAACACAAATCTTCATCCTGAGAGATCATTTGACATTTGTTATTTAGAAATATTGTTTGCTGTTATAAATAAAGATGTCTAACTGTGAAATATGAAACCACTGTTGACGAGGAGATGACTGCTAAAAGTTGCTGTTATAGATCAGTGTAGACTTTGTACATTTCCTAAATGTCTTGTGTTCATTACCTGATCCCATCTTGTTTGAATCCTGAGGCCTGTACTACGAAGCCGGATTTTCGCTTAGCCGGCTGACTTCAGGGAAAACTCGGGCTTTCCGGTCCTACGACGCTGGTTCTCTTTTTAGCGGGCTAGATCTCCATGGTAACTTATGCTGAGCGGCTAACCTCCTCGGGAGGAGGTTAGGTTGCAGGCTAAGAGATCAACTCAGTGAAAGCACCGCCTGCTGACCAATCAGAGCTCCGTGTGCGGAGTTTAAAGCTATCAAGTCATATTACAGGATAGAGGAAATACAGAAAAACTGCCGTTGCAGGAAAGACGGCCGGTGTGGTGCCGAGAGACGGGAGTCGGAGGCGGGGTATCAAAAGAACAAGCTAGACTTTTATTTAGCATCTGAACTCACATGTCAACAACTTCATGCCCGGGAAGCTAAAACCGGCGGAAACAGAAAGTCCGGTTCACTAAAATGTCCGTGCGGAACAATACCCCAACCCATAGATCTGTGGGTGAATAATGTCAATCACCACACAAGCCCCCCCAGAATTCACCCATAGTCAAAATCCTCGTGCCTGGGAGGAAGTACCACCCGACCCCGGCGCGTACGGACCACAGGGGCCGAGGAGGGCGGGGCCGCAGGCGAGGGCAGGGGCAGGGGCGCCAACGAGGGCGAGGGCATCCCCACAGGGGGCGGGGGGCGGGCCATGGGAGGGCGGCCCCGACGTGGGGGCAGAGCCAACTCCAACGGCCTGGAAACGTCCACGTGAGCAGGCTTAACCCGATCAACGGACACAGTCTCAGGCCTGCCACCAACGTCCACCACCAGGCTCTTGTCCCCGTGGTGTATGACCCTGAACGGACCGTCGTAAGGGGGCCGCAGGGGGCCGCGGTGGGCGTCGTGTCGAATAAAAACGAAATCCGCCGACCGTAATCCGGGGGACACCCGGAAAGCTGGGCTGCTGTGCTGCGACGTGGGGACGGGCGCGAATGTCCTGGCGGTCTCCAGCAGGGAGGAGCGCTGCCCGGCCGCAGACCAGGGCACAGTGGCGGTGGGAATGAATTCCCCGGGGACCCGTAGCGTCTGGCCATAAACGAGCTCCGCCGACGAGGACTGCAGGTCTTCTTTGGGGGCACACCTGAGGCCGAGCATAACCCATGGGAGCTTATCCACCCAGTTGCCGTCTGTCAAGCCGGCACGCAGCGACGCCTTCATGGATCGGTGAAACCGCTCACACAATCCGTTAGCCTGGGGGTGATAAGCGGTGGTGCGGTGCAGCTTGACCCCCAAACCCACAGCAACAGCGTTCCACAGCTCCGAGGTGAACTGAGAACCGCGGTCAGAGGAGAGGTCAGACGGGGTCCCGAAGCGCGCCACCCACGTGCCGATGAAAGCGCGGGCGACGTCGGAAGCTGACGTCGAGGTGAGGGGAACGGCCTCGGGCCAGCGGGTCGTCCTGTCCACCATCGTAAACAGGTAGGTGAAACCGTGAGAGGGGGGAAGCGGACCTACGAGGTCGACATTGACATGGTCAAACCTCCTCTCAGGAACCGCAAAAAGTTCAAAAGGGGCCCTAGTATGGCGGTGGACTTTGGCCCGTTGACAGGCCACGCATGAGTCGACCCAGGACCTCACGTCCTTCTTAAGCCCCTGCCACACGAACTTCTGCGACAACAACCTCACGGACGGCTTCCTACCGGGGTGGGAAAGATTGTGAACCGCCTCAAAAACGGGTCGGCGCCAGTCCGCAGGGACCAGCGGTCGAGGCTGGCCCGTGGAGACGTCACACCACAGCTTCGCGCCCGAGTCACCGACCGTGACCTCCTCCAGGCGTAATCCCGTGACCGAGGCCTTGAGGGTTTGGACCCCGTGGTCAGAGGCCCTGGTCAGCGCCCATGCGGAGGTAATCGAGGCCCAGCTGCACAGCTCCGACAACCGCTCTGGAGAGGCAGTCCGCGACCACGTTAGCCTTGCCAGCGATGTGTCGAATGTCCGTGGTGTACTCGGAGATGTACGAAAGCTGGCGTTGCTGTCGGGCGGACCACGGCTCGGCCACCTTGGACATGCAGAAGGTAAGCGGCTTGTGATCCACGAACGCCGCAAACTCCCGGCCTTCCAGCAGGAAACGGAAGTGGCGAACCGCCAAATAGAGACCAAGGAGTTCTCTGTCGAAAGCGCTGTACTTGCGCTCCCTGGGAGTCAACTGGCGGCTGAAAAAGGCGAGCGGTTGCCAGGCGCCGTCAACCCATTGTTCATGCACCGCGCCCACCGCGTAGTCAGACGCGTCGGTGGTGATAGCGATGGGGGCCCCGTGCGACGGGTGAGCCAACATGGCGGCTTCGCTCAGGGCGGCTTTGGTGGCGTCGAAAGCAACCTCCCTCTCAGCTGTCCAGTCTATGGCCTGGCCGGGGGACTTGTCCTTGAGGGCCTCGTACAGCGGGCGCATCGTGTGGGCCGCCCAGCGGATGAACTGGTGATAAAACGTCACCATCCCGAGGAACTCTCGGAGCGCCCGAGCTGTAGGCGGTCGTGGAAAGGCGGACACGGCCTCCACTTTCGACGGGAGGGGGGCGGCCCCACCCTTGTTGATGAGTTGCCCGAGGAATTGGATGGAGGACAACCCGAACTGACACTTCGCCGGGTTGATAATCAGGCCGTGTTGGTCGAGCCTTGCGAAAAGGACCCGGAGATGTGCCTGGTGCTCTTCGGAGGAGGAGCTGGCGACCAGGATGTCGTCTAAATAGACGAAGATGAATGGCATGTCTCTGAGCGCCGAATCCATCAGCCGCTGAAAGGACTGAGCAGCGTTCTTAAGTCCAAACGGCATACGCAGGAACTCGAAAAGCCCGAACGGCGTAATTACCGCAGTTTTGGGGACGTCCGAGGGGTGCACCGGAACCTGGTGGTAGCCCCGCACCAGATCCACCTTGGAGAAGACCAGCTTGCCCGCCAGGTGTGCAGAGAAGTCCTGGATGTGAGGGACCGGGTAGCGGTCTGGCGTAGTGGCGTCGTTAAGTCGGCGGTAGTCACCACACGGTCACCAGCCACCGGCTGCTTTAGGGACCATGTGAAGCGGCGAAGCCCAAGGGCTGTCTGAGCGGCGGATGATGCCCAGACGCTCCATGTTGACGAACTCCGACTTGGCGACTGCCAGCATGTCAGGGTTGAGCCACCGGGCCCTAGCGTAGACTGGGGGGCCCACAGTGTCAATGTGGTGCTCTACGTGTTTGGCAGTGGCAGCGGAAAAGGTGGGCTGCGTCAAGTCGGGAAACTCACTGAGAAGGTGCTGGAACTTGTCACCCTGTGAGAGTGAGCTGGAGAGCCCGCTGAATGACGCCTCGCCGCGGGTACATGTGAACGAGGCAAACGTCAGTGCGTCCACCAGGCGGTTGTTCTTGACGTCCACCAGCAGTCCGTGAGCGCACAGGAAGTCTGCGCACAGGAAGTCTGCGCCGAGGAGGGCGAAGGAGATGTCAGCCGTGACGAAATCCCACCTAAACCGCTGACCCTCGAAGCACAGGTCCACTGTCTTTGTGCCATAGGTGCGAATAGGGGTGTCGTTAGCGGATGTCAAAGGTGGGCCGTGGCCCCCACCGGCGGCGTCCTCCACGGTAGCCGGCAGGACGCTCCGCTGGGCTCCTGTGTCACAAAGGAGTCTGCGACCAGAGAGGGTGTCCCTGATGAACAGGAGCCGGTTGGACATGCCCACGCTCGCGGCCACTACCGAGCGCAGGCCTTGGCGTTTCCCGTTACCTTGTAGGTGCAGGGGGGACGGCACATCTTCGCTTTCGCCCCGTAGCGTGCATGATAATAACACAGGCCAGGGCTGGAGTCGCTGACGTCGGCCCTGGAGCTTCTGCTAGGTGGCATGCCTGTACCCGGGAAGGTGCCGCTGTGTGTCGGGGCCAGCACCTCAGGGGTAAAACGCTGGGTTGCCAGGAAGAACCGGTCAGCCTCTTCGGCCAAAGCGCGGGGCTCGGTAATAGCCGTATTAGCGAGCGCTGTCTGCACATGCGGCGGCATGTGCCGAAGAAACAGTTCAATAAACAAAAAATTAGGCTCCTCCGTACCCAGCAGGCTGAGCATCATCTCCATATGGTCGGAAGGCTTGTTGTCCCCCAGGCCATGAATAGCGAGTAGGCGTCGGGCCCGCTCCGACCGTGACTGTTACGCTTCCCGAGAAGTGACTGGAGATGAGAACCCGCTACGCAAACACTAGACGGAGACAGTGGTGAAGTGTCAAACAATAGTCTTTATTTGACCACGGCACAGGCAAGGTGTAGAGAGGAGCTCAGAGAAGACAGACGTGGAGCTGGATAGCTCAGGGGGAGACGGAGGTGCGGAGATGCACGGAGGGCGCACCGGCGTGGAGAGCCGGAGATCCAGAGCTGGCGAATGTAGACAGGATGAGCTGGTGTGCGTGGAGGCACGGAGGAAACACCGCCGAGGAGAGCCGGGAATCCAGAGCTGGCAAACGTAGTCTGGATGAGCTGGTGTGCGTGGAAGCACGGAGGGAACTCAGACGAGGAGTCGGAGGCTGGACGTGGCAAGCAGAGCGGCAGGTGTGTGTAGGTCTGGAAGAATAAAGATGCAGGGTGAGAAAGGAATAACCTTTCACTAGGAGTATCAAAAGGTTTACTAGAATACTGCTAGTAGGCCTGGACGATAGTTACCACTGAAGGATAAACGAAGAACTGGCGAAGTCTGAAGATGGGAACCAGGGTTTTAAGCAGGTGCAGGTGAGTAGTGGCAATCAGTGAGATTTACAACAGCAGTGGAGATGAGTTGGCGGGAATCAGAATGTAGGTCAGCCACGCCCAGCCAGGAAGACAAAATAAACATAGAAGAGGAAAAGAAGGAGGAAGTACTGCAGATCCTCACAGTACCCCCCCCTCAACGGGAGCCTCCTGGCGACCACCAGGCTTGTCTGGATGAGCCCTGTGAAAGGCCCTTATCATTACAGGGTCCAGGACTCGGGAGCGAGGGACCCAGCATCGCTCCTCGAGACCGTAACCCTCCCAGTCCACCAAATACTGTAAGCCCCTGCCCCGGCGCCTGACGTCCATGAGACGGTGCACTGTGTAGGCAGGATGGTCATCAATGACT